TGGGAGTGCTTTACATCTTTCCCGACCAAAAATAATTCACAACCTACAAAGAAGCATAAATGTGACCAAAAGCTGAATCAATTCAGAAACATGCAGTTTATATATTCAGTTTGAGACAATGATTGTTGGATTTCAATAATGGCTTTCTTTACTAAATGGTATTCAACAGCCATACAGCTGCTAGCTGTGTAAGTATCCAGTGTCATGTGTGTCTATGTATCAGTTTAGAGATCAGAAATTCAAATCCAGAAGCGATCCAGATCCAGTGATCTTTGAGATATGGCTTTATAACTAATATATATTTTCCTTAATGTTAAAAAAAAGTATCCAATTTTTTCTGTATCAAATTTTGAATGGGTTTTCTGTGTGAGTCGATAGAAGCGTAACACAGTGAATTAAATGGGCCAATGATACTGTTTCATATTGACTGCAGGCCCCGTAATTGTACAGAGTGGTATCATATATTATGATTTATCTTTGTCCTCAGAATAAAAACATGTTGTGTGTTGTTGGAACTGATTTTTAAACAATCATTTAAAAGAATGATACAGCATGTATATGATAAAAGCGAGAAAAACATGAGTGCTAGGTCTGAATGCAAATATTATTCAGTGTTATTTATGTTGTTTGGTAAGTTCCTTGGTGTCAACTTCAGGAGGATCGCTCTAATTACCCTCAGGTCCAACCAGATTTGGCTTCTTCTCTAGCCTGCATGTTAATAAGGACACAAAAGTACATCTGTTTTAAAGAAAGCAGTGCAGAGTAAACCTAGTGAGAGATAAACTGAGGCAGAAATGATTCTATTGACAAACGATCTCTCATTCAATTTATTTTAAAGCAAAACAATGCACTCATCATGCAGATCCATCATCTCACTGGTGAGAACTTTCAGTTTTTTTAAATCTCAAGTAATAAAATACATTATTTCAAAGTTTTTGTCCGTTGGTAGGAAAATACAAAAGTTTGAAGACACCATGCTAATTTGGCATCAAAAAAGGATCAAAATCATATAAATGCAAAAGAAGAATCCTGAAGTTTTGTTTCACTATGCAATCATTCCCTCCCTGCTCATTGTTCCATTCTAATGCTCATATATTAAAACAGCCTTTCAATGTAATAAAACTAACTGCATATAAATATGTCAACAACCACATCAGAAAGCCAATTTTTACAGCAGAAATAAACATGTTTACAGCTCGATTAAAAAAACTAAATTGGTCTGATTATCTCATGTCTCAATCAGCACACATTGTATGAAGAGGGATTTTTTTTTTTAACATGTCCATTTTTTTTTCATGAAGGATACGCGTTATTCACAATAAGACGTAGCTTATAGGCCTAGGCTAAAAAAACTAAAAATGTTATCAAAATGTCATATCAGTCGATATAATTATCACAATAATTATCAATCATTATTACTTTCAAATTTTCAAATTTAAAAGCTGATTTTTGCTCCTGAGTGAAAGTTTGAAGAAACCAGAGGGTTGGTTAATCTTTTGGTTTCACTCCCATGCTGGTGTTGCTTACCTCTCTTAACCTGAGGGCCCAAACCAGAGTCCTGCACGGTTCCAATACAGGTCAGTAAAATTGTTTCACTACAGAAACCTGACTGACTGTCTAGACTTGCTGTCTAACCTGGATGCAAACCAGGACAAAGACCAATAACATGTTGGAGTGTTGCCAGCTTGGCAGTATTTGTTAAGTTAAAGTATCAAATCTATTAGAGTAGAGCTTCACCAGCACAGGTAAGCATACGTTAACCTGAAAGGAAGACGAAGGCTGAGGATGCTAGCACAGCTAATGTTTTTCACACTCAGCAGATTGTAGATCACATGTTCAACCATATTAAATAAACTGTACTCAATGTGGACTGTTTTCTATTTACTTTAGCCAAGTCAACTGGTTTTATGTTCAATCAACAGCAAGTTAGTTGATATGTATTGTATCCTTTAACATCTTAAGATTCAACTATTATCTAAGGATTGAAAATCATTGTACCACTGTTTAAAGTGCTTTTTGGCAGCCTCCACACTCTCGTCATCAATCTCCTTACAGAAGACCCTGATCAGCTGCTCAGAAAAGATCAATGTGCGAATCCTGGATTCCTGTAAAGAATGACAGCAGCTTTACTTTGAGAGTTATGGAGACATAAACCTCCTTACAAATAACAGACAGAAGAACTATTGAATGATTGTGATAAAAAATTGTTTTAATCAATAGTTAGTTCTGACATTTTTCCTGTTCTCGTCTTTCATGCCGTAGTCCTTGTTAATGACCTAAAAAGAAGGTCGAGAGTAAAATGTGTGCCATAACAAATCTGCAACATCTTACAAATCAAAGAATCAGCAAAACTGAAGATTTTACAAAAAAAGGTCAGATGAAAGAAAGTAAAAGAAAACTCACCAGGATTTCAAAGTCCTCTGGTTTCAGGTTGTTTTCTTCCTCGTCAGGGAGGGGTTGAGCCAATCCTTCTTTCCAGCCAGAAATCTGGCTCTTGACAAGGAATCAGAAAAAATTACAACAGTGGAAAAGGATATAGATTCAAGATTTTTTGCATTTTAAGTTGACAATGTAAGAAACTTGGAATTCATTTCTTATTCACTCAAAAAACTGCACCAACTTAGTGTAAATGCGTTTGACTGTAGGGCTGCATGGTATGATCTAAGCATTCATTTTGCTATGTGTACAAGTGCCATGGTAATATCCCAGGACGTGTGTTAGTCTATGAGCACATAAAGTGTAGAGGGAGAGAGAGTGAAGGGATCACATGCAGTGTATGAAGATGAACTGTTCTTTGCTTAGAAGTTAATGTCACAGGGCTCTTGATGCAAATTAAATGTAGCTTTGAATGTATAAGGGGTTATTATTTGTAAAAGAAAATAAACTTGAAGACCCAGATAATAATAAAATTTGTAATAGTATGAACATAAAAAGAAAACGCAGTTTCCCCAATATCATGCAGCATTAGTTGACTGCGGGATTTTGTATTATAAGACATTTCAAGCTGCTATCCAATTCACATTACATTTCAATAAGAGAACTGTTCAATAGTGCTGCTGTTCATGTTAAATGTAATATTACGGGCAAGATAAAATGCTGGAGACAGTAAATAATGTGATGTGTACTTATTCTATTAACTGAAAATGAGCACATTATCCAGCTTTGTGATAACAGTGCATTAGATCATGTGTAATAAATGTAATGAAACACAAGAACACACAGACTTACTTTCCAATCCTTGATGGTCTCCTCTGGCTTTCTCTCACCAACAAACTTGTAGATCTCTCCAGAGACAATTTTTTGCAGAATCTTTCTTGCCTCTAAGAGTAAGAGAGTGACAAGCAAACGATAAACAATAATAATTCAGTGTTATTCATGTTGTTTGGTAAGTTCCTTGGTGTCAACTGCAGGAAGATCGCTCTAATTACCCTCAGATCCATCCAGATATGGATTCTTCTCCAGCCTGCATGTTAATAAGGACACACAAGTACATCTGTTTTAAAGAAAGCAGTGCAGAGTAAACCTAGTGAGAGATAAATTGAGGCAGAAATGATTCTATTTAACAAACGATCTCTCATTCAAGTTATTTTAAAGCAAAACAATGCACTCATCATGCAGATCCATCATCTCACTGGTGAGAACTTTCAGTTTTTTTAAATCTTAAGTTGTCTTTTGGTACTAAAATACAAAAGTTTGAAGACTCCAACATTAATTTGGCATCAAAAAAGGGATCAAAATCATATAAAAGCAAAGAAAAGGCAACAGTATCCTGAAGTTCAATGCAATCATTCCCTCCCTGCTCATTGCTCCATTCTAATGCTCATATATTAAAACAGCCTTTCAATGTCATAAAACCACAAACTGCATATATTAATATGGACAATGAGTTTTGGTCTGTTGTATAAAGAGCAAAGACAAAATACCGGCCAACATTTTGTGCTGGTGACTTCTTTTGGAGCCAAGACATGTGCAAACTGAAGCACAACAAAACAAAAAATTGATCCCTCAGGTCAGAAAGAATCCCAGTCTCGATTCTCACATAGTTGCGATGTCATGTCTGCGTGATGCCGATTCTCTTGCTCCTTTTTCCTTCACAACCTGCACTTACGCTGCACTCGCGTCAGTATTTCCCACACAGACAATACTCGGCTGCCCAGGTACATGTATAGCTGCCCAAGTAGCCTATATTTTAAAACTATATGTTTTAATTATTCATAAAATTGCCGTCCGCACGAGAGAGAGAGAGACAAAAAGAGGGCTGCTGTTTGTTCCTCCCTCCTGTTAATGCACCTGAGGTCCAGCCCTCCTGACATGTCAAAACTGAAGCTTCTCATGACTTAGTTTTATTATGTTTGTGAAGCTGCTTGCTGCCGATGTGATGATGCTCTCTCTTGGTTTTGCTGAATCTTGATAACAGGCCTTCACATCATGCTCACCTGTTGTAATAACTGAGATGCTAGATCAACTTTTTAAAGAGGAGTTTTGTTGTGTTGCACAGAGCCCATGAAGGCTCAGTTAAAAAAAAAAAATGCTGTCTGCTAGTCAGTACAATGGACTTGTAAAGCGTGGCTACGGACTAGCAAACTGTTGCAAGGTTTCATAAATTCTGCGAGACAAAACAAGGGGCTGAGGTCCATCAATCATTTCCATCAGCAAGGCATATCTGGTTTTACTCTCTCTCTCTCTCTCTCTCTCTCTCTCTCGTGCGCACATCTTTATTCCATTTCTTTAAACGAGACAAAATCAGGATGAGAATGCAGGAAAATAAATGTTTGGTGCTTAACATTTTCTTGGGGAGACCCCACCTGAAGCTGGCTAGAGAAACACTGGAAGCCACATACACACCCATTCAAAAAAAGTCTGTTTGAGATTGTAGATCACATGTTCAACCATGTTAAATAAACTGTACTGGGGATAAGACTTGTGGAAATCAGTGTAGTGACACAACAGAAAACTCAAAGTACTTGGTCTTTTTTTCGATTCTCTGATTTTTCTGAAATTTTCAAAATCCAAAACAACTGTTGACTGTTTTCTATTTACTTTAGCCAAGTCAACTGGTCTGAATTTATATTTGATGTTTTATGTTCAATCAACAGCAAATTAGTTGATATGTATTGTATCCTTTAACATCTTAAGATTCAACTATTATCAAAGGATTAGAAAATCATAGTACCACTGTTTAAAGTGCTTTTTGGCAGCCTCCACACTCTTGTCATCAATCTTTACAGAAGACCCTGATCAGCTGCTCAGAAAAGCACGTTGTGCGAATCCTGGATCCCTGTAAAGAAGGACAGCAGCTTTACTTTGAGAGTTTTGGTGACATAAGCTGCCTTACAAATAATTTAACCCAATAAACAGAAGAAATATTGCGATAAAAAAATGTTTTAATCAATATTTAGTTCTTACCTTTTCTTCGGGCATTGGCTTTGCCACGTCAAGCTCAGATTTGCTGTAGAAATGAACATGTTGGATAGGGTCCTTGTCGTCCATGCCATAGTCCATTTCAATGACCTAAAATGAAGGTTGAGAGTAAAAGTATGTGTGTAATAACAGATTTTGCAACATCTTACAAATCAAAAAATCCGCAAAACTGAAGAATTTACAAAAAGGTGAAATGAAAGAAAGTCAAAAAACTGACCAGGATTTCAAAGTCCTCTGGTTTCAGGTTGTTTTCTTCCTCGTCAGGGAGGGGTTGAGCCAATAATTTTTCCAGCCAGTAATCCGGCTCTTGACAAGGAATCAGAAAAAAATTACAACAGTGGAAAAAGATATAGATTCAAGTTTTTTGCATTTAAAGTTGACAATGTAAGAAACTTGGAATTCAATTCACATTCACTCAAAAAACTGCACCGACTTAGTGTAGATATTTTTGACTGTAGGGCTGCATGGTATGATTTAAGCATCATTTTTGCGTATGTGTACAAGTGCTATGATAACATTACAGAATATATAATATCAATCATATGTCCTGAAATGTATCATTTCATGCATTTTTTGTTGTTTCTGCTTTTGAAAAAACAAAAAGCCTTCAGTTTTCTCTTTCCATGACTGATCTACAATATCAGTCTGTCTGATCCTCTTCCTGATCACAAAGAGAAGTGACTTCTGTGCAGGCAGAGTCTATGTGCACATAAGATGTAGAGTTGAAGGGATCACATGCAGTGTGTGACGATGAACTGTTCTTTACTGTCACAGGGCTCTTGATGCAAATTAAAAGTCACTTTGAACATATAAGGGGTTTTTATTTGAAAAAGAAAATAGAATTGAAGGCCCAAATGATAATACAAATTATAATTGTATGAACCTCAAAGGTTATTGCAGTTTCCCTCAATATCATGCAGCATTAGTTGACAGAGGGATTTTGTATTGTAAGACATTTCAAGCTGCTATCCATTTCAAAAAGAGAACTGTTCAATAGTGTTGCTGTTCATGTTAAATGTAATAACAACACGGGCAAGATAAAATGCTGGAGACAGTAAATAATGTGATGTGTACTTATTCTATTAACTGAAAATGAGCACATTATCCAGCTTTGTGATAACAGTGCATTAGATCATGTGTTATAAATGTAATGAAACACAAGAACACAGACTTACTTTCCAATCCTCGATGGGGTCCTTTGGCTTTCTCTCATCAACAAACTTGTAGCTCTTTCGAGAGATGATGTTTTGCAGAATCTCTCTTGCCTTTTTTAGCTCTGAGCAGGAAGACTTCAGTATTTCCTCAAACACGTTGTCTAAAAGAGTAACAGAGTAACAAGCAAACAAATGATAATAACACACACAAAAATTAGTGAATTTAATTTAAACACACTCAATAAATTGTAAGACATGGCATGTTAATTTATAAGTCATCACAACTAAATTAACAGGATGTGGTTTATTTATCTTTAACAAATGCACGATAAAAAAAATGGATAAAGTAGCATAACTGTAAATGACCTAGCAACAGAGCCATGTCTTGATACTCCTGTAGTCTGAATTGGCTTCAATGTTGAACATGAGCTAACAGCACACATTTAAATCTACACACCTGTGAGCTTTGTGTAGGCCTCCATGTCCTCATTGGCTGTAGAGAGAGTGAACATCCTCCCTCCTGATCCTTCAATCTGAATGTGACCGTCTGCTTTCAAAAAAGCCTCTGCAATCCTGTATGTTCATATCAAATATATTATTACTGATGAGATAGTGAATCATGATGCAGATTGAATAATGGAAATCAGAAGGAGACCAATCTTATATTTGGAGTACTAACTTCTGAAGGTAGACACTTACATTTCTTGTATGATGTGGCTTACTCTATGCTGACAGGCTCTTTTGTGGAGATGGTGTCTTGTATAGAACAAGTGGTACATATGGTCTTCCTCCTGTTGAGGTTAGGACTGCAGTTTAGTCATAAATAACAACATTATCAGTTTGCTTTCAATTATCTGTTTACAAGCTCAAGTGTGTCAGCACCTTGTCTCTGGTGCAGATAGTTTTCCTGCCATCAACCTCACACACTCTGGCAAACTGCAGGAAGCGACGAAAGTCAAAGTTGTTCTTGATCCCCAGGTAGGAAGAGTCCCTGAGTAGAGGCAGATTGAGGCAAGGTGAAGAAAATAGGTGTATAAAGTGAAACTGAATTTACTGGAGAGTTTTGTAGCCTATAATTTAAAATAATCAGGAGAATAATGCATTGTTCAAGGTAAAAAAAAAAGAAGTGCTGTAGTGGTCTTCATCACAAAATGAATTGCTCTACAGCACTTCATTAAAACCTGACCTGGCCAAGTAGTCAAACTTGTCCACATCAACGCCGTTTTTTTTGTTGGACACAATTTCATAGAGGAAGGAATTTTCTTTTGGGCGCCCTTTGTACGGCACTGCAGGGATGACGACACAAAGCGAATCAGGACCAGTTTTATTGACACGTATGTTGTTGTCAATGAATTTACACTGCATAGAAAAAATATGTAGGACCATTCCACAAAACAGAGATAAAGCTAAAATATGAACACAATAAACTGTGTACAAGCAAAAGCATGACAAAATAAACAGCAGGTTCAATTTCAAATGGAGTTCTAGGCAGATGAAAAACTTTTTTTTAACGATTAAAAAAAAGGACTCTTCTTGTCCGCCTTTATACTGAGGAGATGTTACAAAATAGTGACATTAGTGACATTGCTGTTGAGGACACAGACCTATTTATGCACAGATGGTGTGAACTTGCCTTTTCTTTCTTTTTTTTAACTTTCTTTATTGCTTTTACATATTAACAACATTTCCATTTAGTAATGTCCGTACAGAATGTGTATTCTTTTTCCGAACTTGCCTTTTCTACAGCAATCATCTCCTGAATGTTTTTCACATCTTCAGGGTTCAGTTTGTATTTCTTCTTCATCTCTTTTTCAAGCGTCCTCTGTTCCTGTAATATTTACAGTTAGGGATAGAGAGATTAATTGTGAAATCGTGATAAATTGATTCAAAGGTGTCAAGATTCACATCGGTACTCTGAAAAATGAATCGCAATAATATCGTGAGCGTCAGCAGCTGTAGAGCAAGATTTTCAAATTGAGGACGCACCATCCTCTTTTAAATCAGAGGTGTGGAAGCATTTTAGCTTCCCCAAGACAGAAAATTAAAGATGTGAGAAGATAACAGACAAGACAAAAACTGTGTGTAAATATTGCAAGAAGACAGGGAACTACACAAATAGCACAACCAACATTTGCAGAGTAGATCTCAAAACGTGTGTATGTAAGAAACACTTTAAAAGTCAGAGTTCCTAAAGTTCCTCAGAATTTGACGAGTGACTTAAAGTCAGCCAATTTTCTGTTGACATATACTGTATACAACATCCTAACAGGCTTTATCAGGGTTATTAAACTAGCTGAACTTAACCCAGATATAATACGAAGCACAAGAGTTTTTTGGAAGGTGATACTGCAACTCCGTTTTCTCTCTAAGGGTTTTTTCACACCTGGGTAGTTTGGAAAAGTTGTTCTGAAACCATAGCCCGGTTTGTTCATACATATGTGAACACAGCAATCACACTCTTTTAGCTCAACTTTTTAAATCTATTTTGAATTTTTTATTGAATTGTCCACTATGTGCTCTTTTTTGGCTATCCTTGCTCTTTGCTGCCTGTTGTGGGATGAATAAAGTTTTATCTTCTTTTATCTTAAATTCATACAGTATCTTATCTGACTTATGAAAAACATAATGAGGTGAACTTGCCTCCTTGTCTCCAGCAATCATCTCCTGAATGATTTTCACATCTTCAGGGTTCATTTTGTATTTCTCCATCACTTGTTCAAGCTCACTCTGTTCCTGTAATATTTACAGTTAGGGATGTAAAGATTAATTGTGAAATCGTGATAAATTGATTCAAAGGTGTCAAGATTCACATCAGTACTCTGAAAAATGAATCGCAATAATATCGTGAGCGTCAGCAGCTGTAGAGCAAGATTTTCAAATTGAGGACGCACCATCCTCTTTTAAATCAGAGGTGTGGAAGCATTTTAGCTTCCCCAAGACAGAAAATGAAAGATGTGAGAAGATAACAGACGAGACAAAAACTGTGTGTAAATATTGCAAGAAGACAGGGAACTACACAAATAGCACAACCAACATTTGCAGAGTAGATCTCAAAACGTGTGTATGTAAGAAACACTTTAAATGTCAGCGTTCCTAAAGTTCCTCAGAATTTGGCGAGTGACTTAATGTCAGCCAATTTTCTGTTGACATATACTGTATACAACATCCTAACAGGCTTTATCAGGGTTATTAAACTAGCTGAACTTAACCCAGATATAATACTAAGCATGAGATGCATTGTCTTCTCTTATCTTATATTCATACAGTATCTTATCCGACTTCTGGAAAACATAATGAGGTGAACTTGCCTCCTGCTCTTTAGATTCCTGTAGTCTTCTGTCTACTTCCATGTCTTCTTCAGGGATCGCTGGTTTAAGATACTTCTGTTTCAGCATGTGGTCTAGCATGTCACAAGAGCCCTTTTCATGCTGCAAGACACACAGACTCATAAATGTGTCAACACAAGATTTAAAACATAAATATAATAATCCCACATACTTTAATTTCCCCCACATTTGAAGAGTATATTTCAAAACTTGTGTATATTAAAAAAAAAGTTAAATGTCAGAGTTCCTAAAGTTCCTCAGAATTTGACGAGTGACTTAATGTCAGCCAATTTTCTGTGGACATATACTGTATACAACATCCTAACAGTCTTTATCTGGGTTATTTTGCTAGCTGAACCCAACCCAGAGTCAAACTGTTAAGCACAAAAGTTTTTGCCTGAGAAGGTGATACTGCAGCTCAGTTTTCTCTCTAATAGTAAGGGAATATTGCAAAAACATGGGAATAAATTCCTCACCAAGAAATTTCTTCACAAGTGTGTTCATAAAGGTGTCTTATAACATATCCTTGGTGGAAACATGGCCACACCCACTTTTATTGTACATTTAAAGTAGCTAAATATGTTGATCTCTACGGAAGAAGATTAGGGCCACTGAAAAAATAAAATTGGTTCTGATTTTTTTTTTTTTTAATTCTGACTTTAAACTCAGAATTCTGAGAAAAAGGTCAGAATTCCCCCCAAAAAAACAGAACCAACATTCTTTTTTTCAGTGGCCCTAATCCTCTTCCGTAGATTTCAATATCTCGAATACTAGTTTAAAAAAATACTGCACCAATTTTCAAATGTCTGAGGGTCCAGGTCGAAGTCTTCTCCAGACTCTATACTGTTCTTAAAGTAGTGATTGGGACCCCTGGTGGCTCATGAGACACTAAGAGTGGTTTGTGAGATGCCTTCCATTACCAAATAAAAAAGTTGAACGATATAAAATTGCATATTTTACCCATTATTGTGAAAAAAACATACAAATGTATTTGAATTTTAAAAGCAATTATAGTGGCAAAGTAAGATTTTTGCTGAAATGAAAGAGATGGTTAAAAACTCTTTAAATGTAAGTTTTCACACAAGTGAAACAATGCAGGTGTCTGTTGCTCCCTACGAATGAAAATACACACATACTTCACCTGAGCGTCTGTTTATTTAATGTTGTATATCCAAATTTTCAAATTTTAACCAATAAGGTTCCAGGTACATGTACCCCAACTTTGAGTAGCTCTCAAGGATTTTCCTACTGGAGTTGGATTTAAATATTTTTATATGTGTTATAAGACACCTTTATGAACACATTTGTGAATACATTTCTTGGTAAGGAATTTATATATATATATATATATATATATATATATATATAATATAAGGGTTTTTTCACACCTGGATTGTTTGGAAAAGTTGTTCTGAAACAAAGGGGCGTTTCCCCTTTAGCCCGGTTTGTTTGGATGTGAACACAGCAATCGCACTTTTTTGATTATTGAATGGTGCACTGTGTGCTCTTTTTTGGCTATTCTTGCTCTTTTGCTGCTTATTGTGGGATGAATAAAGGTTATCTTCTCTTATCTTATATTCATACAGTATCTTATCTGACTTCTGATTAACATTTTTTGGGATATTGAGTGACAAAGAGACATAAACAGATCTAGAAATCCCTTCTGCTTTTAAAAGAGGTCCCTTCCGTAAAGAATTACCTCTCATTAACCATGAATTCAATTAGGATTTTTGTTTGGTGTATCTAAATCTCTGAATCACCAGGATTAATGTTCATAAAAAAAACATGAAATCAAATCTCATAAAGCTTCTGAAAAGCGGCAACATGTCGGATGAAAAGTTGACATATTATTACCAAAGAGAACAGGGTATGGGTCATTTAGCAACACAAGCTACAAAGTTCATTGTTATTGCAGAAATAGTTAAACATTCTTGGAAATGTGCATAATCCCATTACACCTGAGAAAGCAAACAAAAAAGAACATCCTGGATTTTGTTTCAAAAGAACAAAGCCAGGGGCGCTGGTGGCGCAATGGTTAGTGTGCGCGCTCCATGTATGGAGGCTGTTGTCCTCCAAGCGGGTGGTCCAGGATTAAATCCCACTTGTGGCTCCTTTCCCACATGTCATTCCCCACTCTCTATCCCTGAATACCATCTCTGTCCACTATCCCATCTCTCAATCAAAAGCCCAAAAATAAACCTTAAAAAAAAAAAAAAAAGAACTAAGCCAGTAAAATTGTATATGTGCTTCAGTTTTGCAGTTGCTCTGTATTTAATTTTTCACATTACAACAAAAATATTAACTTCTGATCTTCCATTTCTCCAATTTCTCCAATTTCTCCATTTCTCTGAATTTCCCATTTTTTCTCATTTCTTCTTTCTTTTTTTCCAGTGCTTTGGGGAGGAACATTCCATCATACAGATGGGAAAAGGGTCCATGACCTTGAAATGGATAGATAAAGACAGGCGTAATCCACTGATAGTGTACAGATTATACAGTCAGTATGTCTTAATAAATCTGTTTGAGTTGAGGATGGATTACTCCTGAATCTAAACTTGAGAATATTGCTTACAAAAAAAGGTTGTTATGTGTAAGTATTTTTAAAGATTCAGACCCTCCAGTTCTTATCAGAGTCCCTACAGACTGAGCTACCACCACTACCTCACCCCACCCTCGTATTTTTTATTTATTAATGCAGAAGCCCTTGCTTTTTTGTAAGATGGAAGGGTTATTTCTGGATCATTTCACTTTCATTTTACTCTTAACATTCCAAATAATTACAATTAATACACCAGTCATGTAATATTGAAAAGGGATGCATTACTCACCCAGGTCATGACAGAGGCCAGCAATCTGAACACAAAGGACGTCTCTGTCATCGATTTTGAGTTCCGGCTGCCTTGACCTGAGAGCCTCAGCAAGTTTTCCTGCTAAGTATCCCACCCTTTTTAGACCACAGAAAACATTTTTTTAAATTATAACGCAGTTATCACAATTTATTATATATATTTTTATTCATATTTTTTATTAGATCCATACTAAGACAGGCACTGTTTTCTGCCTTTATTGGTTTTACAAGGTGCTTATGTGAAAACCATGAGTCTTCTCCTTATTTGGACTGAGGTCACCTGTGGGCTGAAATCTGAAAACTTGCTGACTTACCCGATCGAGTGTTCAAAGCGGTTGTGAGACGCTCCAGGGTAAACAAAGTAGACACCTCCAAGCTGCTTTATGAATCGAAGTCTCTGGAACTGAGGTGTGTCAATGATCTTGATGAGGAGTGGGTGTAACTCTATGCTACCATGGATGGGATCATTAAACACCTGGCAGAAAACAAACAAACAAAAGCTAAGAACAATGAAATGCATAAAACAATACACCATGAAGACCAGCTCAAGTTTGTCTGAGGGCTCTGGGAAGTATTGCATAAGCATGAAATGAGCCCAAGAATAAAGCTGATGCTACAAAGAATGTTTTTTTGACTTTACCACTGTTTGGGATATTAAACATCTAGTAGAACAAAGAGAACAAAACATTGGACACTGAAAATGTCCTTTCAATACAAAGCGTGTCTTCCTATTCCTTTTTTTTTTTTAGGATTAAAGGAAAGGAGAACAAAGAGGGTTGGTTTGGATAGTAAAGGTGCACAAAGCTAGCTGTCCTCACCACTGGTGGGGATAATAAGCATCTAGAGAACAAAGCCCTCCCAGTTAATTAGATTTTTAATTTAGACTGATAATGGATAATACAAGGACACAGGTTTAACTTTGTGGAGGTGTGTTTGTGTGCGGTTTATTCAACAAGTCGTCATTGTTTGTTCTGTTTATTCTCTCTTATCTCTCCAGCCGCAAAAATGTGGTGTGATGTGTGGTAAGACGTGAAGTATTTTACCTTGGTGATGATCGGTCTGTAGAATTAAAAAAAAAGCATTAACAGTATGAAGAAGTGCTGAAACTTCCAACTTAAAATGATTTCTTTATAAAGTTGGGATATTGTAAACTGGTTTAACAAAGACAGAGATACTCACTGTTCTGCCATTTTGCCCGACTAGATAAAAGAGAAAGAAGTCAGTCATTTATTAAGTAGTCTAACCTCAGTTTTACACAAGCTAAAAGGCAAAATTGGTAAATTAAACCATCAGTTTAAAATAACGATACAACTTACCAAAAGCCAACCATGAATTTAATCGACTATAACTAGAAAACCAACCTCCAAATTTTCCTCCAATTGTCCAAGTCCTTCTTTTTGTACCAACTTGTTTCCTCAGCTCCCTGTAACTTTGAAAAATCTATCTATATAGTTTTTAATATTTTGAAGCTGTAAGATGTTGCATTTACATCAAGTTAATGTTTCTGATGCTGATCTGACAAGTGGTAAATGTCATTTAAATTTAAAGGCTTTTTTTTACGACGCTCAGGGTTTTAAAACATCTGACATTTATATCTCCACCACACCCATGTTATTGGTCTTCACCCTCATGATCCTCTTCTTTTATTGATATACCAAACATTTCAGAAAACAAAACTGAAAATGCATCAGAATTTCTTAAGTCAAATTAACAAATCTAAACGTATAAAGAAGTGAAGAAATGACAGGATGTTAGAAATAAATCAGTATTAGAAGTTACTTCTGAAGAAAAATTCAGAGGTAGCGTGAATGTTGCATGTTTAACCTGCTCTTTAGACAGAGATTTATAGTGTACTCCATTTGAGGACTGCAAATATATCAAATGGCCACAAGATGGCAATGTTACTCAACTCTCTATGGTAAAGTGTGCCCTGACCATTTGAAGAATGCTCTGAAGGAGACATTTTAAACAGGTACTAATCACAAGAAACCCTCAGACTGTAAAAGATTTTCTCATTCTATGATGACAAAAATGTTCAGCCTCATGATGTATCCAGAAGCATGTAAAGGAGGTGAACATCTGTCTGTCATCATTCTATCCAAAAATAAAAGATGAGACTATAATATGTATATATTGACCTCCAGTAACATCCAGAAATGAGCACATTGCAGATGTATGTCTATTAGTGCCAGTAGCTCAGTCTGTAGGGGCTTGGGTTGGGAACCAGAGGGTTGCCAGTTCAAGTCCCAGTGTGGACCAAATATGGAAGTTGGTCTGGTAGCTGGAGAGGTGCCAGATCACCTCCCAAGCACTGCCAAGGTGCCCTTGAGCAAGGCACTAAACCCTCTCCCCACCATCAGCTCAGGAGTGCCCGCTGTGGGCAGCTCCGTCACTCTGACATTTCTCCATTAGTGCTTGTCCATAGTGCATGTGTGTGTTGCATGGTTAACAGAGTGTAAAAACAGAAATTTCCCCTTGCAGGGATCAATAAAGTTAATCTTAAATCTACTTTTTCTTGTGAGATTACTTCTGATTGCAGACATAGAAAGTTGTTCAGGATGATATGACTTTATTCCCAAGTCAGGTATCTTTATAGGGCTTATAAATATCAATTTTTATCATCTAATTTCTGCCGAGGTTTAAGTTTTCTTTTAAACTGAAAGAAGGATGTCAAACTGATTCTCCGTGCAGCAACACAGATCAAACTTAAATGACAAATTGTAATCTCATGTTTGTATAACTACTGATTTTTTTAAAAGTCAATGATGTACTAAAACTGTAATATCTGGTATTTTTTTAGGCTACTGATTTTGCCATATTCACAAATTCACAAATCAGTACAAAACCACAAAAAAACACAAATCAACATAAAGCAAATGAACATAACGTAAGACAAAGGAACGCAAACTCTGAGTTCACATG